TCCTTTGAAACAGCATGAAGAAATTCACCTTCCCAACACTGCAGAAGATAAAAGGGAGAAAACAAAGGAAAACAGACACAATGGTTAAAAGTGAAGGTGTAAACCAGAATGACATGAGGAGAAAATAGTGGTGAATGTTATGGGTGGATTAGGGTTAGGGCTTCAAACCACCCTGTTACAAGAACCAAGACTCTGTTTTTACACTTAATTCAAAATATAAGAGAAATACCCAATCAAAGGGCAACAAAAGTTTAAAAATAAGATGGTTCAAAGTGCACCAGCAAAAGACTGTCAGGCAAATTTCACACAGCTTAATTAGAAACAGCAATAATATTAGTGCCCAAGAAAGGGAATTGGAGAAAGAAAAGCATTAAACCTGACCAAGGGTAAAATCCATGATGAGAATATAGAGGTCATGAACCAGTTACCTGCTGAACATGGTTGTATCAGAGGATGTGCCACAAAAACAGAAGTGCACTTGCAATATGACCTTCATTCCTTGGAGTCCCATTGAAGAAGGGAAGGAACAAGCTGAAGCACAGCGAGGGACAGGCTCTGTCACTCCAGATGTGCAGCCAGAGGGGTGAAGATTCAGGGTGTGCAGGATGGCCAGCCAGTCCTCAAATACTTGAAGAATTTTCATACGGAGACCAAATTCAGTCTTGTACATGATGGCTCTAGGAAACAGATCTAGGTCCTAAAAGTGACGGGAATGCAGTGTTTATTCATCCCGAGGAACAACTTTCACTCAAATCTACTCCAAAGAAAACGGTCAGCCCTAGGAGACAGGAGCCTGCTGCTAGGGAACCTCAAAGCGGTTGAGCACCTGACTGCCGTTGAATGTTTACCATGAGACAGACACATGGTAACAGATGGAACTCGCACATACCCTGAGGTCACTGCCATTTGCATCCCCGTGTTGTAGTTGAGAGAACCGACGTGCCATACCATGAAGCTTAGGTAGTTTGCCCAAGGTCGGTTACTACAGAGGTGGTAGACTAGGGTCCAAACTCAGGTGGTCTGGCCCTGGATCAAGCACTGTCTCTGTTTCCTTCTCTTTCCCTCTCTTTTCCCTTTCTTGTTGTTTCCCTTTATCTCTCATTGATATGGTGCAAGGCTTATACTTGACGGCTTTTAAAAGTCATTACCACAGAGATTCTAGAGCTTAGTATTTATAGCTACAGTCAAATAAGCAGTTCAAAAAGAAAAAGGTTATTTCTTTCTCTCATTAAAAATATCTGTAGAAAAGCAACCCAGGCCCGGTAAGGTGGCTCCCTGATGTCATCAGGAACCCAGGCCCTTCCATCTTTTTTTTTTTTTTTTTTTTTGACAAGTTCTGACTCCTGTCACCCAGGCTGGAGTGCAGTGGTGCAATCACAGCCCACTGCAACCTTGACCTCCCAGGCCCAGGTAATTCTCCTACTTCAGCCTCCCAAGTAGCTGGGACTATACAGGTACATGCCACCAAACCCAGCTAATTTTTTTTTTTTTTTTTTTTTTTGTATTTTTAGTAGAGATGAGATCTCCCATGTTTCCCAGGCTGGTCTCAAACTCTTAGGCTCAAGGGATCCGCCTGCCTCAGCCTCCCAAAGTGCTGGGACTACAGGTGTGAGTCACCATGCCTGGCCCTCTTTCTGTTTTTAATGTGTGTTTTCCATTCTCAGCATCTCGAGATGGCTGCTGTGGTTCCAGTCATTCCATTTTCAAGAGGCATGAAAGAGGAAGGACTAGAGCATGATGACTTCTCTCATTACCTCATCCAAGGACTCCTGCTTGTATCTCCTGACCACCTCTTAGGTCATGAGTTGGAAAATGCAGTTTTTCAGCTGAGCATATTTCCCGAGTCTGTTACTAAGAAAGAAAGGAAGACAGAATATTGAGTTAGGCAGCCAGCAGTCCTAGCCACCGTGAGTTATTGCTAAGTGATGGTGGCACTGTGCAATGGCAAATCAGTGTGGTTGAAAAGTTATCTGCTGCTCTCCATTCAAATTTAGTGGCACTTTAGTCAGTGGCAGAGACCCTCAGTTTGGATAGCCAGTCCTCATGGCACTTCATTAAAGATAACCAAGCCCTTATATCAAAGACTGTTCTCTCCTTTGCCTCTTTTTCTTTTTCAGGGCTGGTGACCTCTCTTGACCAATAGGAGTGTATGGGTGTAAGAAACTTCTGCTAGCTTCTTCTAAATGTCTGCCTACAAACTCCTCTTAGTGTTGAAATCTGCTATTCAATGAAAGAAAACAGTATGTGATGAACCATTCAGAAAGGAAGCTTGTTTTTACTTTTCAGGGCTGGATAGCTCTGTGGTCCCACAGGCACACATGGAGGAAGGAAATTTCTTGTACTGGCTTCTTCTCAATGTCTCCATACAAATTATTTTTCTGCTAAAAGCTTCCATTCAATGAAAGAACACAGTAAATGATGAACTGGTCACAAAGCAAGCTTTTTTTTCCATAGATTGTTTTCTAATTCACTGAGTTCTCCTCAACTCTGTGCAGACAAATTTGTGTGGCTTTGGAATTTATAATCCTAGCTTCAGTTCTGCCTACTTTGTGAAAATGCCATAATCCCATTAGGTTTTCTTTAATTGCTCTTATTCTTTATAGTAGAGAAGTATGCAAAACAACTCTACACATTTAAGTGCACACAAGAATTATGTGGATTGTCAGAATGCAATTACATTTCAAGATCGTAGTGAGCTAATTTTCCATTCGGACCTTATTCTTTTTTCTCCTCTTCCTTTTTTGTTTTTGCCTAGACACCCACTACTTGAAACTTTTAGAAATGAAGGGCTCTCAATTTGTTCTTTAGCGCTGCCACTTTCTGCCAAGGCTTTTTCAATTGTTAAATCATGACTTACTAAACTGATGTAATGTTACCCAAATTTTATTTTCTTTTATGCTACAATGCTCCTTGTAGTTCCAGTGAGGTTTCAAAACCTGAAGCACAGTATTCAGTATTGTGCATGTCAAACCTTTCACCAAAGCCTTCAGTGGGCTGCTTTATAATAACTATGAATATAATGCTATCAACATTTTAGTGGGGTATTACTAAACAAGCTATATTACTAATAAGAAAACTTTACCTCCTCAATTTTGGTTACAGTAAATGACCACTATTTATTTAGTTGTTCCCTTTTGCTAAATATAATTTCACTGCAGCTTCTTAATGGAGAAAGAATATCCAGCTTTAAACATTGGTTCTGTTTTGCTCTGTTTCATTTTAATTTAATCTAGTTTGAAATTGCATTAAATACATCACGGCAATGTACTAAGGCTTTACAATTTCTATTGAGGAAGTGTATAACCAAAAGTTTCCTGTCAGCTGGAGTTTAGTCAAGCCCTATGAGTTTAAGCACCAGCCAGCATTTGCCTGCTTGTCAAAGGATAAAGAACTTCCTCTACCCCAATATCCATCTTGACCGCAAGTGAACTTATTGCCTGTAATAGCTCTAGGAGTATTCTTGCCTCACAGCCCTGAGGTCTTAGACCCAGAATGCAGCAAGCCAGTAGGTATCGATCTTCCACCAAAGGCCTCAGGCTCCCTCTAGGCTGCCCCTCTGCTTGCCCTCTTTTTCTCCTCATAACCTCCATCTGGCAACCAGTCAAAAATCAGAGGGACCAAGTGGTGGCCCATTTGGGGAAACTCAGGTCACTATGCTGTTTTATTTGGTTTTTGCAATGACACTTCCTTGTCTGATTTTAATTTGAACCAATATAATAAAAAAAAAAAAAATCAGGAGTCTACATGAAAACCCAAGGGCCTGGCATTTCTTGGGAAGTCAGATCTGGCCATACTGGATCCATACTCTATACTGGCAGCAACTAGATGGAGCTGAGTCATGGCTGATCTCTCTGGCCCAAGCACAAACCCTCCAGTTTACCACAGTATCCTTGACACAGAAGACGAGTATCAGCTATCATCCTTTATTGTGTTTTTACTGTTACTTTCCTTACAGTAGAGGAAAGTTTCTGTTCCCACACACATCTGCATCAAAACTGAGAGAAAGATGGAGGGGAATAAAGAGAAGGAGAATATTTCTCTGACAAGACAAGGAATAATTCTATACTTTTCATAAGTAAATAATAATGTTTCCTTCCTTTTCTTTTCTGCCTAGCCCCTCTATACCCTTAAATTTCAACCCCAGATATAATTGTTTCTGTGGCAGATTATTTTTGCCAAAAATGGCCACCACATCCAATTCACTTCCATGTCCTCTTCCAGAGCCTTGCCTCTCCTACATGAAGAGGTGGAGTTGAGGTTCCCTCCCCTGATCCTGGGCAGGCCTTTATGGCTACCTCCATGAATCGAATATGGTGGAAGAGACACTGGTCAACTTCCAAGACTAGGCTGGAAAAGAACCTGGACCTCTCTGTATTGGCTCTCTCTTTCTCAGAACACTTGCCCTAGGAACCCAGCCACCATGTTATGAGGAAGCCCAAGCTACATGGAGAGGCCACATGTAGGTGTTCTGGCCAACAACCCCAGCTCAAATCCAACCCTTAGCCAACATCAACTGCAAGGCAAATCATGACAATTTGTTGTCACATTTGAATACCCAGCATATTTTCCAGGGGAAAGAAAAAGGATTGAGATAGTTTAACTATCTTCAGATAATTTCAGGCCCCAGGCCCTGAGTCTTCCTAGCTGAGGCCCCAGACACTGTGGAACAGAGACAAGCCATTCCCCACCTTGCCATGTCTGAATTACTGTCCTACATAGGCTGGGAGCCTAATGGTTGATTTTTACCACTGAATTTTGAAACAGTTTGTTACACAGCATTACATAACTAGAGCAACTCCCTCTGATAATTGTTTCTAGGTGCTCATTTCACCTGTGTGTGTGTGTGTGTGTTTTTCTTACTTGGATTAAAATCTGATTGATTGTATCTGGGGACAGAAAAAGACATACTGAACATTGCTATGTCTACTTTTTTTTTTTTTAACCACTGTCACCACTTTATCTGTTATCGCTGAAACAAGCATTTCTCTAACATACTTCAGGTCCCATGCCCCACAGGGGCTGATATTAGTCAACACCTGACAAACAGAGAGGTTCCCAACAGCAGTCGGCGGCGGTACACAGGGAAAGTTCCTTGCAACCATTTCACTCTCAACGAGGAAGAGGATTGCTTTAAGGCACTGACTTGGATAAGGAATAACTCCATCACCACAGAAGGTAAGGATGTCGGTAACTGTGCATCTCTTCAGAAGAGCGTTTTATTTTTATAATGAGTCTCATTCTTCATCTAGTTCCAGTATATAATTAGTGCCTAATTAATTCCAACCAAATCATTCATCTGTCATGCTTTGTTTTCCAGATTAATTTACAACTTGTTGTCATTTTTGGATACCCAGCATGTTTGCTGGGGGAAAGAAAAAGGCTTGAGATAGTTTAATTATCTATAATTATTTTATTATACAAAATGAATATCCGAAGAGCAAAGCATAGCTAAAATCATTAACTAATTAAAGAATAATTTAATAAGCAAACATGTTTAGCAATTATATGGAAAATATGTCTTCTTTTGTGAAGCTGAAAAGACCTAGGAAGAAAAAGGCTTCTATTGGAAGGGCCTTTTCTTGTTTTCACAACCTATTGTTCTCTTTCTTGGTGTTGCCCGTACAGTCCTTCCCACAAATACACAGACTCGAGTTACATGCCACTTTTTAAATCGAAATGAAAAAGTGAAACATTTGTGCCAATGCCTCTGCCACTCAAAAGTGTATTCTCAAGCATCTTTCTCTCTATTGCTTGAATTTCATTGAAATCATTCAGCCAGTGAAACAACCAGAAGAGGGCCTGGCTGCTTTTGTGTCTTTAACTGAAACCTAGAAGTCAAGGTTAGGAGATTACTTAAAGCAGCCCCTTTCTTTTGCCTAAAAGTGAGAAGACAGTTAGTGACCTGGTTCTGTTCCACAGCCACCTGTGGTTTAGAGTTCAGCCCAAGGATGTAAAACCACTAAGTGCCCAGAAAGTGGGCATCGATGTGTAAAATTAAACATGCTAATTTATTTAATACATGTATATGAGTATAATCTAATTATATTTGTTAATACATTAAAATTAAATATAATTTATTATAATTTTTGGTGGATCATTTAGGTATTAACTTTTGCCAAGTTATAACATTTACTACATTAAAAAGTTACTAATTTACGACATTCAGCATTTAAAAATGAGTATCAAACGGCATTCAATACGTTGCTGGATTCAATTTGCTGATACTATTTATAGACTGTGTGCCTCTAAATTCATAAATGAGATTGACCTGTAGTTCTCTCTTTTATGCATTGCTTGTCAGGTTTTTGGAATCAAGGGTATGCTAGTCTCACAAAGCATTTTTGGAAGCTCTCTATATTCTTTGGGGATCTGAAATACAAAGTAACTTAAGGGTTGGACAGAAATCACCCATAAAACCAGCTGAGTCTGGAACCTTTGGGTAGAGATGGGATATAGAGATAGATTATACTGGCAACCCAGATTTTTTAAATGTCATAAAGTATTTCATACTTTCATCCAAGCTTGGAATTATTTTCAGTTTTGCATCTATGTATGTTTAAACCTGTTTTAGCCTTTTAGTCATTCTGTAATAATTACCCCATGATCTATGTAGACTCAGAGTATTTTCTTATCAGGGAAAATTCTCTAATGCATTGGTTGGTGAATTTTTGCTGTAAAATACCAGAGAGTAAATATTTTGGACTTGGTTGAGCATGGTAACTCACACCCGCAATCCCAGCACTTTGTGGGGGCCGAGGTGGGAGGATCACTTGAGCCCAGGAGTTTGAGACCAGCCTGGGAAACATGGAAAAACCCCACCTCTACAAAAAATACAAAAATTAGCTGGGCATGGTGGTGTACACCTATAGTTTCAGCTACTCAGGAGGCTGATGTGGGAGGATCAATTGAGCTTGGGAGATCAAGGCTGCAGTGAGCCATGATTATGCCACTGCACTCCAGCCTGGGTGACAGAGCAAGACCTTATCTTACAATTTTTTTTTCTTTTAGACTTTGCAGGCCATACGCTCTCTGTTGCAACTCTTCAACTCTGCCCTTTTGGTGAGCAAGTGACTATAGACAATATGTAAATGAATGAGCATGGTCGTGTTCTGATAAAATTTATTTATGAAACCAGACGATGAGCTGTAGTTTGTAGTAACCTGCTTTTAGACATAACATTTTTGACAAATCATTACCATTTCATGAAGTCCAGACCTCCAAATGTACCATAAGTTCCCCAGTACCATAACTTCCCCAAAAGCACAAAAGCCAGTCGTTCAATACAAAATGCACAGTACATCTTTAAGAGTGCACCCAGTCCTGTTAGCCTGCAGTGCTGTGCTTTAACTTTGAACCTCTGTGTGTTTTGGATGTTTGGGCTAGGGAGCATTTGACCAAGACAAGACCCTTCGAAAGTGGTACTGCAAGTTCTTAAGGTGGAATGTTGATGGCAGAGAATTTAGAAACCTCAAAGCAAGAAGCACTATGGTCTCTTTCAAGTGCCTTTGTATTGTCCTCTTGGTTCTCAGATGGAGGAATAGCATCAGTGCTATTCTGCTGACTTGGCCAGTTGTCAGAGATGGTGATGCTGCACTGCCTGCTTAAAGGGAAATGCTTTTTCAAGATTTAAGACTGTCTCCCAGCAGTCAGTGTATAAAGCCAATTGGAGTGCTTGCTTTTGTCCACCAAAGAGCCAGAATAAGAAGTATGTGGAAATTAGTTTCCTGTCTTATATGCAGGTGATTTTTCTCCAGGTCTGGTGCTTAATCACTCCCCCAGGCACCTCCCAGGTAGATGCTCTTAACACTCACATGCTGGGACCAAGCTCTGGGAGCCTTCAGGGAAAGCTGACCTGGCCAAGTTAATTTAACTCCATGTAGAGGCCCTTTTCAAGTGAATTCTCAAGTAAACAAAGTTAAGAAAAAATGTTAACATCTTGCCTTAAGAAAACTTTCTCCTCTTTGTATCTTTTCTGTAATTCAGGTCATATTCAGACATAACTTTAGTCCCATTCAGATCTTATTCTTGCCATTATTATTCTTGCAGCATCACTGGATCACAGTCCAAATCTCAGAGCAGAGCAGGCCTAGGACAGAAAGCCCATCCCCACCTGAGCCAAGAACCAACAACCACAAGACAGAATTATACCCACAGAGGCTCCCAGGAAATGCAGCAAAGAGTAGGATCCAGCGTGAGAGAAGGCCTCGAGGTAGAGCCTCCTAAATACACCGTTGGCTTCCCTGGCAGGCTGAAATATGTTTAGCAGGGAGGGCATTCCATGTAGAAATAGACATTCATGCCAAATCGCTTCAGTCACCTTGTGACCTCTATTTCTTAACTGAGACTTTGGGTATATGATACTTGAGTTTCATTGCTGGGCTTTCAAATCCCTTTTCATACTGTGCAAAGCCTAGTGGTCTTTCCAGAACTGCATTTTGAAAAGAATACAGCTGTTGCAACTTTGCTTCTGAGACATCTACAGTACCATACTTGGTTGAAGCTCCAAGCCATTTCTTAGATAATTTCAGCTCTACTATATCTCAATGTCACTTGTATCCAGCATAGTGCCTGGCACATAGTAAATGAAAATAAATGTTTTAGTGAATGTAAGTGAAGACAGTTCAGGATGTAACTCTTTTCCTTACCCCTGCCCCCTCCACATGGTGAGTTTTATCAAAACATTTTGCATTCGGCCTAACTTGGAAATAGATGGTCAATTGAGATGAAGACAAGAGAACCCTTGAATGAAATTGAAGCTCTTCTTTAAAACTTCATACTTGATAACGGCAGTAATAACATGCTGGCTAAACAGGATGAGTTAAGTTCCTCCTCACGAATAACAGACATTTATAAAGGCAGTCTAGCTCAGGTTCTGGAGTCACATGACTTGGGTTCAAATCTTGGCTGTGCCGTTTCCCTTGGGCAAGTTATTTAACCGCTCTGTTTCTCAGATTCCAGATAATATCTACCTCACATGGGATGCTGAGAGGGTGAAAACAGATAAATGAGATGGCATGCCGTACTCAGGACAGTCTCTCATACATAGAAAGAGTTTTATAAATAGAGGCTGCCATTAGCATTGCTCTTACCGTGTGATGGAATTAAAGGTACCCCAGAGTAGAAGTCTCAGCTCCTGCCACCAGGCACTGATGAAGTTGAGGATATCAGTCTCTATTTAAAGCCAGGGATCCGTGTACACCAGGTGCCAGTCAGCTATAGAGGCGCTGTGGCCTTCAGGAGAGCCCTGGAGGCTGCGAAGTTTGGAGAAGGCCTCCCCGAGAAAGGAGGATTTGAGCTTAGTCTTGAAGAGGGACAGGATAAGCAGACAGAGAGGCTGGGGGAGTATGGATTGTGTCCAAAAGACACTGGGCCAACAACGTGGCCTGGGCAGAGTCTGTGAAGGGCAGCAGCAGGAGATGAAGCCGGAGGCGTGGGCAGGGACAGACATTGGCGGGCGGCAAGCACCCAGCCACGTCCAAGTTTTAACTGGTTACCTTTTAGGAATGGGAGCTGACCAGGCGGGTGCCACTGTACACACATAGCACTTTGGGAAAATGGCGTTTCCATCCGTAGTACCCATGCCAGCGGAGAGAAGGTGACCGCGGGAGAATGGCTTACCATGGATGGCAGCAGCCAGCTGAGGCAAGGCAGCTATGCACGCAGGAGCTAGCTGGAAGTGGCCACCCTTGCTGCATTTGGTGGTCTTGCTGACACAGCCGCTTCTAGCTTATTTCCAAGTCAGCTATGAGATGGTGGTGTTGCGGGGCTTTGCCTTAGTTCAGCTAAAGACGGGGTCCTTGTCCGTCCCATGGCCACGAAAATGTAGGCTTGCAGAGGGTTTGAAGGGTGAGTAAAACAGTGTTTTACTGGGTGAAAGAAAAAAAAAAAGGGGAGTTGGGGGGGCGGGGAAGCAGGATCCTGCGCAAGGCCAGCAGGCTACTTGAATCCCAGGTTCCACACAGGAAGAGGAGGGGCCAGGCTCCTCCCCACTGCAAATGACATGGACTTCTTGAGGCTCCACCCCAATCTGCAGGCTGATTGGAGTTTTTCTAGGGACTCCCTCCCACCTCCCTGTGTCATTGGCATTTGAAGCCAGAAGCTAGAAGTCTGGCGCATGATGGAAAGCAAGGAGCAGGGCTGTGTTCCTGCATGTTTGAAAGGTCGCATGGAGCAAT